ATCTTGCTGGGTATCCAGTTACAGAAGCAACACATTAACAAGAGAATTCTGAGTAAAACCAAAGTTACTTTCCCTAGTAACTAGTTACTCTGAAAGTAACGAGTAACTTGAAGTAACTGAGTTACTTTTGATAGAACTAGTAATGTAACTAAGTTACTAATTTAAAGTAACTTACCCAACACTGCTGCTAATTATGTATGAATAAATCCATTCTGTTACTGGGAGTATGTCTGTGAAGGTTCTCAGTCATCCAGGTCATCATAGTCTAAGGAGCTTGGGAAGAAAAGCGTCTGGTATTCTTTTCAAGCAACTTAAAGAAGTCCAGACGCTTTTCTTTCCAAGCTCCTTAGTCTGTTACTGGGAGGCTTTCTGTGGGGATCTGACAGGCCTGGAAGAGCCACTGTAGATCCTCCACTTGGCCTTCCCCAAACTGCAGCTTCTGGTCTAGCTTATCGCTTGTATATATATATATATTTTATATATAAAAGCTACAACTTAATTTAAGGGCTAAAAATCTAACATAAAAAAACCCTGTAATAACTCAAGGCCTCTTATGAGTTATCTGCACCAGTCAGCTACCTATATTAAAAATTTGGAAATTCAGACACCAAAAGCCAATTTTCTACAGCTGGGTTAACTCAGACATGGACCCATGTAGGTGCACTATCCAAACCTTAGGCTATTCTTCATATACATGGGCCAGACTGTCACAGATGTTCCGGCAAATTGAGCAGTAACTGCACTGAATTGGGATGGGAAAGTGACCAACACATCTTCAGCTGTGCAGAACGCAGCACTTGACCAGACCGTAAGTGAATGTCCTGCCATGCCAACAAAAAGGATTCATGCCCTAAAAATGGAAAATCTCAACAGCTAGTTTTGACTTGTCACAAATACCTGAAACACTGGAGCACAGATAAGTTGTTGGGTTGTCAGGGCTTGGAGAAATATTACAGACTACACACAGAAACAGCGATGCCCTCCTCAGTCACTTCAGCATCCCTGAGGCGTACACCAAATGTGAGTTATACAGCAGCGCTGTGAGAAACAACACCATGCTGCAATTGTAAATGATGCACAGGCTGCAGGTATTCAGACATACACAAGGCAGTAGCAAAAGTCTTCTGCTTGATATTCATATCAGGCTGGAAAAAGTACAGCTTGAAATATGCAGATGCCACCAGAGTGACAGTTATGACACAGGTGTGCAACCCACACTGCACGGTGCCAGCCACTCACACCAAATGGAGTGTCAAGCACGAGATGGAAGCTTAAAAAGCCACCCTTTGAAGCACAGCTCCCATCACAGAAATCTACAAGTTGAACAGTGTGGGGTTTTTTTAATAATTAACATCAGCTCAGAATTCTGAGCCGCTAATGATGGAGTAGCATGTGATTTCTTTCCTTTTAAATACAGAACACGTAGCATCCAGACGTCTTTGGAAACAAAAAAAACAAAAAAAAAGTATTTCTGCTTTCAGTTGTGCAATGATGCTCTTGAAGTGCATCATTGAATGATACATTGTCTCCACACATAAGGATAATTATATATAACCTGTTATGCAGAGATGGATGTAGCCATACAGATGTGTAAGAGAGCCAGAGCCAGAGATTTCTGGCTCTCTTCCACAGCATGTCTCTCATCCTGCCTTCCTTCTCTCACCCCAACCGGTCACAGCAGATGGCTGCCCCTCCCTGAGCCTAGTTCAGGGAGGGGGTTCAAGGGAGTTTTTCCTTTCCACTGTCGCCAAAGTGCTTGCTCAAAGGGGGTCATATGATTGTTGGGTTTTTCTCTGAATGTATTATTGTAGGGTCTACCCTACAATATAAAGTGCCTCGAGGCGACTGTTGTTATGATTTGGCGCTATATAAATAAACTTGAATTGAATTGAATGTGTAAAACCCCCCAAAAAACTACACTCTTAAAGGCAAGTTCCCGAGATCTGCAACATGCATTTGGTTGAGTTTACAGAGGTTGCACACTGAGTGAGAAGTGGGGTCATTTTCTCAAACTCCTGTACAGTTTGACTTCTTTTTTTCTTACCTCCTGCTGACAGAAATAATGCAGTTTTCAGGCACTTCTGTATTGGCTTCACTTTTCAAAACCTTCAGGCTTTGTCTGTTTTTTTATATAATGTCTATAATTTTAACGGTCTCTCAGGTTATTGATTGACAGAGCCGGCGAATAACTTCAGTTAAATGGCTCTACCAGCTGAATATAATGGAGCGCATAGCAGCTAAAGAGATCTCCCAACATTCATTACATGTACTCTATCAGGTGAACACAACAGTGACTCAGAAGTGGTGCTAATTCTGGAGCTGCACCACCTTTGAGCATTTAACAAATGTCACTAACATTTCTTCTGCAGCAGGTAGATTCAGGTGGAACAACATGATATTATGACCAAATTATCCAGTCAATGTAATCACCCTTGTTTTAGTTGAGTGTTTCCTAAATGGGTTAAGGGCCACTAAAGAGCTAAAACCTGATGTTCCCAACAACAACACACAACACTAGTTCTCTGTAAGAGATTTCATGTAACGCTGCTGGTGAAATGTTGTACCATCAAATGCCTGTGGTAATGTAATTGTGGTGTGATCGAACTCTTCCGATATATTTTTCATTTCCTGGTGTTCAGTGCAGAAAAGCTTACAGGCACACAGAATGAGAGTCATTTCA